TCCACCCCGTCACAATCTGCCTTATCTATGGATTGTGACCCACGGCCTGTCCCTGGATTCCTGTTTCAGTGCTGCCCTCGGCTCACTCCCTACTCTTTGCCTGCTTTGACCAGCACTCCACTCACCAGGCCTGACTGCCTAGAACCCAGAGCCTGACAACTGGGCTAGAAAACTCAGGAGAAAAAGGTTTTTTCATGTGATTTCTGAAATTTGCTGCTTCCGGTTAGACTGAACTCTAGGCTCACTCCCTACTCTTTGCCTGCTTTGACCAGCACTCCACTCACCAGGCCTGACTGCCTAGAACCCAGAGCCTGACAACTGGGCTAGAAAACTCAGGAGAAAAAGGTTTTTTCATGTGATTTCTGAAATTTGCTGCTTCCGGTTAGACTGAAAAGCCCTTATAAAAAAGCCCTTCTTGCAGTACAGGGCCAGCCGGAGAGGAGGGAGCTAAGCTCAGGGGGTGCGGGGGGTGGGGAGGGGGCCCAGGCAGGGACTTCAAGGAACAGAGAGGGCAGGAGAGGGAACAGAGAAGGAACTGGGCTAGGGAAAGCCGGACTGGGCACTGAAGTCTGAATAGAAGGGGGAATAGGTATGGAAGAGAATATGGTTGCCAACTCTCCTGCTTTCACTGGGAATCTCCCAGAACCACGCCCTATCTCCCACAGGTTACCTCAGCCAAACTGGGACGTTTTGGCCACTAGCACTGGTGAATTGGCTCCAAATACCTTTTACTTCTCAGGCTTAGAGGGAAATGCTCTATTTGAGGGAGGCCATTTGGGAAGCGATGGCCCACAGCAGCTGCAAGCAAGGGCCTGGATGAGGGCTAGACTCAGCCATTTTTCTTTGTTATCATTCAAATGGATTTGGGGTCATGGCTGACCTCCCTGCCATCCTATGGCCTTTGCCATGCACAGAGTGGTATCTCCCTGCCAAGTCCCATTCCTAGGAAGGCTAGGGAAGGTAGAAGAGGGGGAAGGCTGCAGTGTGATCTCCCACCTCCAGGCAGCCAGTGGCCTATGCTTGCCGCTGCCAGGCCGGAGCCTCCACATTTATTTATTGGCAAATAATTTGTAAATTGGGCAGAGTTTTAAAATATTGTGCTCAGAGTTTTTAATGTTGTTGGTGCTGAACTCCCTCAGGAACGTGGGGTGCTGGGCAGCTGTGGGGGGGGGCTGTGAAAGGTGCATAGGGATCTGTGGTGGAGATCTCTGGGTGAGGGGCCACTGGGCATGGGGAGTTGCTAGGCATACGGGGGTGGCAGTACTGGGTGGGGCAAGGCATGCTGTTAGTGCATGGCTGGGGTCAGGGACACAGGCAGGAGGGAAGTGCAGGCATTAGGAGTAAAGGCAGCACTGTGCAGCGGTTAGAGGCAAAAGCGGGCACAATGCAGGGGTTAGTGACAAAGGGGGTGCTGGGGCTGCGGAGCCCATCGGTGTCAGGGGAAATAGGAGGGTGCTGTGCCCATAGAGCCCAGGGCTGCCAAAACACAGGTTCACCCTGGGCGCCATTTTCCCTAAGGCCGTCCTGGTTGTCATCCTGGGAGTCCTCAGTGAGTGGCAGGCAGTGTCTGTGGTATTTCACTACGGGCTCCTCTCTAGCACATGGACTTGCTCAGGTCATGCACTGGGCTTGGTGAATTTCTCTGCCATAACTCATGAGAGCAGCTCCTACCTCAGGCCTTTTCTCTTTAATCTATCGCCATCTAGTGTGCCGAGTCAGTAATGCAAAAAGCCGAGACTACCCTGCCTCATATAGTCTCCAAGGGCACGTCAAATAGCTTAATTCGGCTTTTGGCGCTGTCTTCACAGCAGGAAGTCCAAGGAAGAGCACTCTTCCTTCGACGTCCCTTACACCTCGTGCAATGAGGGTTACCATAAGGCAGCGTAAGAAGTCCTGCAGCTCGACGTTATTTCGAAATAAAGGCTTGTAGTGTAGACGTGCACTATGTTATTTGGAATAACATCAGTTATTCTGAAATGATGCTGCTGTATAGACATACCCCAAACGAAAAACTCCTCAGAAACACATTCAATTCCGAAGGCAAATCAGACTCCGCACAGATGGATTCAGTCCTACACCCTGCTATCTGCACTGCCACAAGATGAGGGCTGCAATTATCCTTGTTCATCTTTACCGTTCTTTAGCCAAGGGGAAAGTTTGTCCATTGTGAAGGCTGCTGTCCTCTCTGCATCTGCAAAGCAGGCGTAACATAGGCAGCAGCAGAGCAAGCTGCCCCAGTGCTCATGTAATGCACACACCTACTGGGTATGATTAACTGTCCCATGCAGTGGCACTGAGATCACCTACAGAGAAAGAAAGAATGAGTTTGTTCTACAGCCTGAGCTGAGAGCCGGGGAACTTTATATCCCTAACTGTAGAGGCTCATGCACAAAGCTCCAGAGATCCCAGATTTGTTTCTGTCTGTCTAGACGCTCTTTGTCGACAGAAGCTTTGTCGACTGTAGTCTAGACGTACCCTTAAAGACCTAAATGGGGGGAGAGGGAGCAAGATATCCCATATGGGCCTTCTGGAAGGTTCTTACCCCTGCCTACGAAGAAAACAGGATGCTGGAGTAGATGGAGCTTGGGTCTGATCCTGCCTGGTGAATCCTCTGCAACCTCACACCCAATGCAGTGTGTGTTGGCAGAACAGTTGCTTTTCCACACTCAAGAGCAAAGCCCAGGCTTTCAGACTACACTAAGGAAAGAAATGTGACAAAAAAGAGTGCAGCTTGTGTATCTCTTTAGCAGCAGTCAGCAGCAACTCCTGGCTGCAGAGAGTCCGTCAATGGAGACACTGCCCTGCTGCTAAGAGATGCTGAGGGAACGGCTGCTCCTTAGAGCAACAGAACTGCCGTAGGGAAGCCAAGCAGCAGGACTCTGAACCCCATTAAGATTGCATTGGGCTGAGGTGCGGTGAGACCTCCTGCTGCAGGGAGATGAGACAAGGATGTAGCCGCTTCACCGCCATGGCAGATGTTTCAAGAGGAAAAGCTGTCTCTGAAAAGCAGCAACCTGCTGAGTCAGCTGTGCAGGCACAGTCCTTCCCTGTGGAGGTCTACCACAAACACTGTGTGGGGGGGATGGTTGGAGCTGGAAGGAAACCTCAGCCAGATTGGTGCCTTGCCATGTCTGTGGTTGCAGCTCAAAGCTGGAAGCACAAAACTTCTTTAATAAAGTGGGGGAGGAAGGAGTTATTCAAAAGAAGCCAGAGAACGCTTGAGGACAAAATGGCTGCCGACTCAGCTCACAGGCAGAATTCTGGGATGTTGCATTAGAGAAATCGGAGCCCCTTGCTGCATTTAGTCTCTTCGCTCTCGTGGGAGCAAATCTCAATTCCCTCATTGCCTCAGATATAGAGGGGCCTGGTGTTTGTGGAAATGGCATAGGGAGGAGATAGGATTGCGTGGGTGTGGGGGAGGAAGATGTGCGCATGGTCTGTGTGCACCACAGAGATCTTTACTCTAGAAGGGAGATGTGGGCAACTGGATGGATCAATACAGAGAGAGGATCTGGCTTGTTCTCCCTCCACTCCTGGTTTGTTCCACCTCCCCTCAGGTATTGAGGCAGATGGAGCAAATCCCACAGCTTGGGCATGCGTGCCTAACAATCACTGTATAACCCAGGCACCGTACCCAGGTAGGCCAGGGGTGGATCTGAACTCCGCCCCTCAGAGCCCTACCTGGAAGGCAGGACAGCACAGATTCACACAACACCCTCTGGCCTTTGAGCTACATGAGTCACGTTACTGGGGCAACAGTGGCAGAGGGAAGGAAATAGAATTGTAAAACATAAACCACAGCCCAGCTGACAGGGAGAGGAGAGGAGAGCGGAGCGCGGAGCCAAAGCAGCAGGGAAGCACAGCCCGGCTGGAGCCCCGCCAAGATGGTCTGAGTAATTATCAACGGTAAGGAAACCTCTTTGGTTCAGGCAAAATAGAGCAGAGGGGGGTGGTTGGTTTGTAAGTACAGGTGTGCCCCTTTCTCGAATTGGTGCCCCCGTTTGCAGGGCGAAGCACGATGGACGAATTCTTTGTAATGCAGTTGGAAGTGCTAGGCCTTTGCTAGCAGTCTGTCCTTGCATGGGTGTTGTCTTCATTACTGCAGGGGAGGCTGTTCCCCACTGCGTATCCCAGCCCTGGATACAGAAGGGTCTAGACCTCTGTGGTATCTGCTGTGTCACACAGCAAGGGGAGGTGAAGTTCTATCCGATAGGACTCCACAACTTTCCTTTCCCACAATAGGCTTTGTCGGGCTGGGGCGTGGGGGGTGTGTGTTAGGTCTGACCTCATCCACATGGGTGCAAAACAAGCATAGCTCCACTGAGTGTCTTTAGGGCGGATTGTGGACTCACACCACTGTGAATCGGGGTAATTCTGCTAGAATGACACAGGAAAAACCTGGAGCTTGTAAGCAAGCAGCCAGGCACATTTCATTCTGTTGTTACTTTACTTCTGTGTGATTTGGCCAAGCTCTTGCTCTGTTCAGGCTTTTTATCCAACTCCGACAGGAGCTGGACTTGTATTAGCAGAGCACGCATGGTGGCAGGTGCTGTAACACAGAGAGCAAAAGGAAAGTCCTTGCTCCAAACTTTCACCCTGGAGCTATCTTCTTATTGCAGTCTGGACATTTTGCTGACCGCTTGTTCTAGCTCCCCTAACTCGCCCTATGCCCGCTGGTCAGGACTGGACTGAGACCGACTAACGGTGACTCACTGGGTCACTAGCTCAGGTAGGATCAGAGGGAGGTGATTTGTTCCTGTGAATGCCACTTCCCTCTTGGTGCCTTGTGCAGCTTCTTTGCCCTCCCCCAATATTTGCCCCTTAGTTTGAGGAATACAAGCCCATGATCTCCTTTCTCTCTGCAGCCTGCAGGTATGTGGCAGCGAAGATTAGAAGCCTGTGTGGTCAGAGAAATGAGGAGCCCCTTGAGACCCACCCCGCTGACCACAGCCAGAACCAAAGTACGTAACAGTCTTGCTGGTGTGGAGCCGGGGAGAAGAGAAGGGCAGCAAACATATCGGCTTAGAAAGGTGGCGTAGTGCAGTGGTCTCTGCTCTGCTACTAACTCACTGCATGGCCAGGGGCAAGTTACTGCACCTCTGCTGATGTCTGTAACATGCAGAGTCCACTGGGGGCTACTGTAAAATAACCCCCCCAATCTGACTCAAGGCTGGGTGTACCTTCACATTTGGGACTTCCAGGTGCTTCCATTCACTGTAGTGGAGACACAGTACATGTTGCATTTTTTTGTCATTCCCCCCTCCTTCACACACACACACACACACACACACACACACACACACCCAATCAAAGTAGCTTTGCCAGCTCTTAAAGTGGCCTATTAGCCTTCTGGAGAGCTAGAAGCTTTACAAGTAAGAGCTGTAGAATTGGGTCCTATTCAGAGTGCAGGTGTGGCTTAGCCCCTTACAGAGGAGACAAGCAAGTGGCAGGGGGTATGGAGGCCCAGAACTGGAACAGTAGGGCTACGTCTAGACTGGCATGATTTTCCACAAATGCTTTTAACGGAAAAGTTTTTCCATTAAAAGCATTTGCGGAAAAGAGCATGTAGATTGGCACGGACGCTTTTCCGCAATTTAAGCACTTATCACCCTCCAGTTCCCAGCTCTAGGACTCCTTAGGGGATTCCCTGTTAGATGCCAAGATGCTTCATCACACACCAGTGTCAGGCACATACGGATCCCTTCTTTTCTTACCAAATCACTCCCATCCACTGCATCAGTTAGAAGACGCTATTTAAATACACACAAGTCAGCATGACTTAGCAAATAGTTTACGTGTTACCCAAGAGGGCTGTGGTTCTCCCAGCTGCCTGAAATTCAGTACCTTGATACTAGCCGCTGAATCACCTGGGACACGCACTCCCCTTTATGATAAGCTCTTGGGGACACTACATATGACTATCACTTGACAGACTTGCACTTTTATTCCTGTTAAACTGCAGTAGAATACACCCAGCCTGCCCCACTTCCTGCTACAATGAGGATAACTGAATTGCTGTCCTAACTCTGACTAAAAGGGGTTTAGCTTGAATTTGAAAATGTGCTGGCAATTGGATAGTAGAGTGAGGAGACTGAAGTTCCAAAGAAGGCTCCAGATCATTTGCTCGAGCTCTAAAAGAAGCAGTGAGGGGAGGGTTTATATGGTCAAAGGTAAGAGCCTGAGTCTCCTCTAGCTGACACTAGTGTGACTCCATCAGTCTCAGTGGAGTTTAACCCCGATTTGCTGTACTGTAAGTGAGCTCAGAACTGGGTCCAATGGCAAAAAGATCGTGTCAATATCAACCTGTATTGCTGTATGCAGCAGCAGGAGATATGGCTAGGGCTATTAATATCGGTAATGAGGTATGACTAAAAACCAAACCACTTAAAACAGGCTGACTACAAATGGGGAGGAGGGGGGAGGAATGCTGAGCTTATGGAGGCCGAGAATTGGAGTAGCAAGCATTTAACAGAATCAGAGAAGTTGCCTTGGCAGTCAAGTATTTAAACTTCCCCTTTAAGATATCAGACTCCTCTTCAGCTGGCGTAAACCATCATAGCTCTATTGGAATCAATGGAGCTCCATTAATTTACACCAATGCTTTATGACAGAGCAAGCTAGCTCCTTAGCAAGTACACATCAATAAAGCTGTCGTGACTTCAGGGGAGCTATGATGATTTACGCCAGCTAAGGATCTGGCCCAGAATATCAAAGGCTAGGTCAATACTAGACATTTTTGCTAGTGTGGCAACATTAGTTGGGAAGGAGTGACTCTTTTGTGGCTTTTCTATCTCAGCAAGAGTGTGTCTACACTGTACCCATAGCTCAAAATAAGCTACCCAATCTGAGCTATGCAAATAGCGAAGCTTATTTTGAGTCAGTTTCAAAATAGCTTATTTCTAAATTTGGTGCTGTCTCCACAACACTTATTTTGAAATAAACCGCTATTCCAAAATGTCCCTGGCTCCCTGCGGAATGAGGTTTACAGGGACGTCGGAATAGCAAGCCCATTGGATTTCGAAATAACGGGTGTGCTCAAACGATGCAGAATATCTATTCTGGGATACTCCCGGTATCCCAAAATAACGCTGCGTTGTAGATGTAGTCCAAATGAGACTCAGACAACCTAAGTCCCCATGTCAACAGAGATAGTTCCATGGAATAATTCTTTGGTGGATCTAGCTACCCCCTCTCAGGGAGGTAGGTTAACTAGAGTAATGAGAGAACACTTCCCATCACTGTACTAAGTGGCTACAGCAGCAATGCCTTGAAAGCCGCCGATGTGCCACTGTAGAATTTTAAGCGTAGACATAGCCTCAGATTTACCTGCTCTGTGCAGTTTTGAATGCAGCCCTTTTGTAAGCTGATCTTGAAGCTTTGTCCAGACAACTAAAAGCCTTTTAATGCCCTTAGCTGATTCCTCATTTTTTCTCTCTTACACTTGCATTTTCAGATGTAAGTTCAGTGATATCAGAAGGCCCCCAAGTGACGGACCCTGTCAATAAGAACAAGATGCTTGGCTCTGAACGACCCTGCGGTCCCGAGGGTAGCTGATCTCTGCGCCCTTCCTAACTCTTCAAGGGCCTTGGCCTGCTGGTGTTCCTGTTCCACAGGGATCAGAAATGTGTGTTCTCCCCCAAATCCATCTTGCATTTGTACTCTATTCATTTGTATAACAGTATGAATTGGGCATGTTAATCCCTTGCTAATAAGGATTTCCCAGCATGAAAGACTAATTAAAACAAAAACTCAGCACCAGCCATAATTGCTGGCTGCAAAACTCACCCAATGACACTTGGCCTGGGTTGCTTATTGTAGAATGCATTTCCCTTCTCAATCTAAAAATGAACCACAGTCTTATGCAATTCATCTATGAGGCCAAATTCTGGTGTCACATACAGTGAGTGTAAATTCAGAGGAACTTCACTGAAGTTAACAGATTCTGATCCTCAGCTGGGTTGCATTGGCTTCCCTCCATTGACTGGAGCTATGCTGATTTGCACCAGCAGAGAATCAGGACCAGAGTAGATCTGGTGTAACAGAGAATAACATCTGGCTTTGCAGGCTAAAATTGGCTCTAACACTGTTATGAAGGAAAGAAACTCCATCGATTTCAATGAAGTTACTCTGGATTGACACTGGAGTAAGAGAGAGCAGAATTTGGCCCATAGAGAGAAGACACTACCCTTACTGCCTGGTTGTCGAAGCGATGCCATGCAATGTGGTCCCAGGTCACTATATGGATGGACGGGTCTGGCCTTGGTGGTTTGATTCCCTTTCCTCTGGAAAGTTCTCCCTGTACTGTCACAGTGAGCAATGACGACAGTTTCACAAACTCCTCCATGTGGAGATGAACAAGTCTGAATCCTGCCTGTGCTACAAACACAGAATTTAACCAACAATAAAGACTAACATGAGCATGAAGGCAGGTGTGCTGCACATTTTATGGCTTTCTGGTGGTGTTCCATTTGCGAGCATGTATTCCTTTTGAGGATATAGTGAACTATTTCCTAGGTATATTACAGGGTTGGTGTAGAGGCCCCAGCCCAGATTAGGGCCCCATGGGGTCTTACTGTATGCGCAAACACATGGTAAGAAAAAGTGTCTGCTCCTGAATTGTTTACTGCCTACATGGAAAGACAGACAGAGGATGGGAAGGGATTTAGCAGGACTGTGAGTGATTTCCTCTCAGTGCCCTGTGGGTACAAAGGGGCCATAACTAGGGTTGCCAGGTGTCTGGTATTGATCCAGACAGTCCGGTATTTTCGCCACCTGTCCGGTAAAAAAATTCAGAAAATACCGGACACCTAAAATGTCTGGCATTTTCTGATTTTTTTCTCCAGCCAGGAGGTGAAAATACCGGACACCCGGCAACCCTAGCATCCAGGCCCAGCCCCGGACCTCTCTCCTCTCTCCCTCCCCCAGTCTCCCACCCCTGGACTCCATGCTTACCTGGTTCCACAGGGGAGCTAAGTTCTGGCTTGAACAAGAACACAAAATGGCCACCGGCAAAAAGCCTAAAGACCAAAGGGAAGCAATGCCTTCCCTGGGTCTTAGTGCTCAACCATTTCCCTGTTCCTATCCCTATTCTAACGCTGCACTCACTCTGAAAGGGGCCATGCTGTTTTAATGCTGTTTTATTATTTATTTATTTAGATTAATAAGTCTCGGAGTCCTTTTTTTTTCCCTCAACAACTTTGGTCTCCCCCCCCCTTTTTTTCCCCCTCAGCAGAATTTTTTCCCCCAGTGTTTTTTTGTTTTTGCGGGGGGAGGCGTTCGGTATTTTTGGTTCAACCGTCTGGCAACCCTAGCCATAACAGGCCCTCTTGCCTCACGGGAGAGGGGGAGTTTATTACAAAAACAGAGCACAGATAATCCTTAAGAAAAACCCCCAGACACAGTCCTGTGATCACTCCCTATGCTCCACCCCAGGGAAATAGTCTTTAAAATCTAGCTCACCAGCATAGCACATGCCATACTCCAGTGCCATCCACCACACCTGGGCTTTTCTTCTGTCCTCTCCTCTCCTTCTACTCGGACAACTTGCCAGCTGGAGTGCAGCCCCTTTTTTCCCCACAGGAACCCCGACCCCCCCATTGGTCTCTCTCCTGGGCAATTATCCATCACTCCCCAGCTCTGTTAACCTCTCCTTCCCAACAGGCCTCTCCTTCCCACTACTCCCCTGGTATCAGCCCTCCAGCTTCAATTCGCTGGCTTTGGAGTCGCAGGAAAGTCCCTGTGCTGCTCTCCTGCCTTCAGCCTTCTCCAGCCTGGGGAGGGCAGCCATAAACCCCTCTGCAGATCTTTAGCCACCAACTGTCCCAAGCATCTCTAACACAGAGGTGGGGAACCTTTTTGGGTCAGAGGTCACTGACCCACAGAAAACCAGTCAGGGTCCACACACAATTGAGAAGCCAACCCCCCCACCCCCCAAAAAAACCCCACAATCCTCACTGACATGGCTCCTGACTGAGAAGGAGGCAGACATTCCCACATTCCCCTCACACACCAGAGCCTGGGGGAGGGAGCAGACTAGTAGATTTTGTGTGCTCCAGCCCCCTGGGGGAACAGGGAAGAGGGCTGAAGCATCAGCCTGGGGTCCCCAGTGCTGGGGGATGGAGCCCCAAGCCTCTGGGGCTAGATCCAAGCAAGCTAGGGGCCACATCTGTCCCCCAGGCCCTAGGTTCTCCACCCCTGATCTAACAGATTCCTTCGAGGACCTCCCACTGCCGTCCTGTCCTCTTAACCAGCCAAACTGGGAGCACACGTTCTGGCCCAAAGAAGCTGAACTTGCTTCCTTTAAAAGGGCCGGCCACCCCGGGATAGCTGTGCAGAGGGAAGAGGCTTGCCTGTGTCCATTGCTGGCCCACTGTAAGCACCAAAATAACGCGACTCCCAGTCTAGTGCCCTATCCAGACAAGCAGAAGTAACATTGTCCATCTACAGAAGCTTCATGGGCTTCAAAAATTGATTGAACACATACAGCGAGATAACACAGCTACCCACACTTAACAAAAAAATTACAAGGGGGCATAAACCACACACCAATGATCAGCTGAGGGAGGAAGGGATTTCTCCTGGGAGCAGGTTACTTTATTCCCTATGGGTTTTCTTGCCCCTTCATCATAAATATCTGATAGTGGCCTCTGTTGGAGACAAGATACTGAGCTGGATCACACTGGGCTGATGTGGTCTTGCAATTTCCATGTTCCTATGTAATAGGAAGAGTAGATGGAGCTGGATTTAATGATCTCTATGTGCCTCCACGGAGAGGCAAATTTAAAATGCAGGTGTTTCATCAACAGAAATAAGATATCCAGGGGATTTTACAATTAGAAATAATAGTGCAGGAGCACATCATTACAGCAAGCCCCATACACCCTGATCAGCACTAGAAGTTAGGTCCATCAATGGCTATTGGCCAGGATGGGTAGGAATGGTGTCCCAAGCCTCTGTTTGTCTGGAGATGGGTGACGGGAGTGGGATTACATGAGGATTCCCTGTTGTGTTCCCTCCCTCTGGGGCATCTGGCATTGGCCAATGTCGGCAGACAGGATACTGGCCTAGATGGACCATTGGTCTGACCCAGGATGACCGTTCTTATGTGCATCTGGATATCTATGGCAGCTACTACACTCTTACACATACAACTCGTCATGCTTGTGAGTTCATATAAATCCTTATGCACTGATTATATTGGCTTTAACCCTCTGTGATAGGGTGGACAAGGCCCTGAGCCCAGTAATGGCCATAGAGAGGTCCTCCAAGCAGGCAAGAGTGGCAGAGGAACTGACCAATCAGTGACCAGGGAGGCCTAAAAAAAGGAGCTGCAAAGCTCAGCAGCAATCAGTGTAGGCCAGAGCTCAAGGAGAGCAGATCATGAGGCTGGCTGAGAGAGCCTCACTGCAGAGCAGCTGGAGGGTTTGGGCTCCTAGGCTATGTCTACACTGGTGGGTTCTTGTGCAAGACTTCTTGCACAAGAAAATGTCCACACTGCCATGTGCGAGCTGTGCTTTTGCACAAGATCATCCATGGCATTGTGGACGCTCTCTAGTGCAAGAAAGCTCTGATTGCCATTTAGCCATAGGGGTTTCTTGCGTAAGAAATCCCTGCTGAGTGTCCACACTGCCCTCTTGTGCAAGAGCTCCTGTGCAAGAGGGCTTACACCTGATAAAAAAAGAGCGTAGCGCGTGCACAAGAAGCCCTCTCTTACCGCACCATACTGTAAATTTCCTTGTACAAGAGCAGGCAGGCAGTGTGGACGCTCTGCAGGTTCTTGAGCAAGAGCGGCTGTACTTGCACAAGAAGCTGCGAGTGTAGACATAGCCCAGGAGTAGAAGCCCTGGAGGCACCACTCTCTCCAAGTGGGGAAAGAGACGGAGGGGAAACAAACTCCATGTGGAGGGCTGGATAAAGACAGATGAACTGTGATAAAGTCCTAAGCTAGGGGCAAGGAGTTGCCTCCAGGAAGGGAAACCCTGGAGGTACCACTCTCTTTGGGTACGTTGACACAGTAACATTATTTCGGAATAACTAACGTTATTCTGAAATAACATAGTGCACGTCTACACTACAAGCCTTTATTTCAAAATAATGTCAAGCTGGAGGACTTTTTACTTCAACTCATGGTAACCCTCATTTCACAAGGAGTAAGGGACGTCAAAGAAAAAGTGTTCTTCCTTTGACTTCCTGCTGTGTAGACAGCGCCTAGCTGAAGTTGTGTAGCTTAATTCAGCTTTAGCCCTGCTGTATAGACGTGCCCTTCCAGTGGGGAACAGATTAAAAGGGACATTCACAGAGGATACTGAGATGGGCTCCTTTTAAGTGTGTACCCTGGAAGGGGGTTGAGATACACAGGGTGTGACTTGGCTGGTGTGCTGAGTTGCCGAAAAGGCTTTCGGCTTTCAAACTGAGGCAGTGCAGGAACCTAGACTCACCAGACCGGGGTGAGCACTTCATTCACTTGCCATTTATTAAATTAACCCAGAGACAAGCAGACACTTTGTTCTCGTTTCAAACAAGTTCCTTTTCCATGTCATCTACAAATGATAGCCAAAAAAAATGCTGTCCCACAACTGTAGAAGAGATGGTCAGTAAAGAACTTTGCTTTAGTTTTTAGCGTGCTTCATGTTGTCGATCTTTGGCTGCGAGATGCTGGATTCTGGTGGTTGTTCATCACCCCTAACTCCTGGTAGGGTCAATGGGAGCCAGGGATATTCTTATCATGCTCTTAGGTTAACAGTTCTCCAGCTCAGAGGGTGTGACATTCAGTGTTTTGTACAGTATCTGCCTAACAACTACAAAGAGAAGTCCATGGCAAATGGGATGCTAAGGTATTGTGTGCTTTTGCCAGGGTGGAACAAGCATGAGATACATCACACACTGATCTCCGGGGCCAAAAAATATATAGCATGCCTGTGCAAGGAAACAGATTATTTCCCCTGCTCGAAAAAAATGCATGGATCTCACATGCATGACGAAAGGAACATGAGAGGAGCATAAAAAAGGGAACTTAACTAGCCATAATCTGTCCATGTTCTTGCATCAAATATTCAGCAATCTGAATCTTACATATGGTGCATCATATAGGCATGATCTGATAGCTCATTACAAACACTTAAATGCAACGATTTGTAGTGGATGGCCACGAGACGTGACAAGAAGTAAGGAGGTCACATTCCTAAGCAGGACAATTTATTTCTTCAGGCAAGATTTGGGTCCTGAGCCGGGGGCAGTTAGGCAGTTAAGTGTCTGTCTTGTTTATTGTCTCTGAGTGGCATTTTGAATATTTAAGTAACGTCACATCCCCCTTATCATTACTGTCCTCTCATTGGTTAAAACAAATTCCTGATGCAGTTGTATCTCTCTCCAGGACCTCCCTATACTCTGGCTTCTTCCATGGACCACTGTATGTGAACTAACAACTCTTTCTAGGTTCCTCACATCACCTGACCTTGAAACAACAGTGTCCCGTATCAAGCACGTTGGTTTCTATGAACTGGCAAAGGCAGGGGATGTTTGTGTGTTCCACATGCCGTAACATGAGGACCTCAGGGAGCTGGCCGCTGATCAAGAGTCTGATATAATAGGCACTGAAGATCACCAAGAGCTGCTGGGCCATCACCTGGAACAAGCAGGAGATCAACATCAGAGGCATTCCACACGTCAGGACCTGCACAATGTCCTTGGTGACTGAGTTCTACGGCAGTATCCATGGTAATAGAGTCTTGGGGCAACCATAGGGATCAAAGATGAAACAGGCCTTTTCGATATTGGTGCCTCTTCCCCATCAAGGAGACATTTATCCCACAGTTGATGATGGGTTAGATATTAAATCACAGAGGCTAGGTCTACACGGCTTGGGGAGGGGGTTGGAAAAAGGTACGCAAATTGTGTATCACAATTTGCGTACCTTTTTCCAATTCTTTTTTTCAGAAGAGGCTTTGCCGACATTTGGCCCATCTACATGGGGACAAATGTGGGGAAAACCTCCTTTTTCGTAAGAGCCTATATTTCTCATAAAATGAGGAACACAGGGCTTCTGAAAGAGTGCATCTGCTCTTCTGAAAAAAATTTCTGTGCAAGGAAATTTCTGTG